TGATCTTTAAACCAACATGCATGTGATGATCTTCAAGCTTAGATGCTAGATCATCAAAGTATGTTGTTAAAAGCTTTCAAATATGTTCATGAAGGATTTATTTCCAAATAAATATCTAAAACTCCTTTTTTGACCAAATCTGATTTCATACGCTGAAGAAAGCCTTGTGCAACGCGCCTGGTCTGTCCCTACACGAAGGGACAGACGACCTCGTTGTCTACTGCGATGCGTCTAATCAAGGCTTAGGCTGTGTGCTTATGCAAAGGGGTAAAGTAATTGCTTATGCTTCTAGATAGTTGCAAGCACACGAGGTCAACTATACCACACACGACTTGGAACTAAGAGCCGTAGTCTTTGCATTGAAGATTTGGAGACATTACCTCTACGGAACCAAGTGCACGATCTTCACTGATCACAAGAGCCTGCAACACATCTTTGATCAGAAAGACTTGAACATGAGACAACAGCGATGGGTAGAACTACTCAGTGATTATGAGTGTGAAATCCGTTACCATCCTAGCAAGGCCAATGTAGTAGCAGATGCCCTTAGCCGAAAGGAGAATGCAGGCCGTAAAGTGAAGAACCAGACGATGACCATTCATTCCAAACTACCCATACAAATCCGAGAAGCCCAGCTAGAAGCCCTCAAACCCGAGAACATGTCAATTGAAGCCTTAAGAGGAATAGAAAAGAAACTTGAGATCAGAGGTGACGGAGTCCACTGTTTCATGGATCGAATCTGGATTCCCAAGTTCGGAGGATTCAAAGAGATAGTTATGGAGGAAGCGCACAGAACCAGATACTCTGTTCACCCGGGCTCTGACAAGATGTACTTAGATCTCAAGAAACAATATTGGTGGCCAAACATGAAGGCTGAAATAGCTATGTTTGTGGGCAAATGTCTGACTTGTGCCAAGGTAAAAGTTGAACACCAGAAACCCTCGGGTCTGCTCCAGCAACTCGAGATACCCAAATGGAAATGGGAGATGATTACCATGGATTTCATCACCAAACTACCCAAGTGCTCGAGTGGATACGATACTATTTGGATGATTGTCGATCGTTTGACAAATTCAGCTCACTTCGTTCCAATCCAAGAATCATACAAGATGGAAAGACTCACGCGGATTTATATCCAAGAGGTAGTCCGACTGCACAGTGTACCTGCATCCATTATCTCTGATCGAGATAGCAGGTTTACCTCCCGATTTTGGCAGTCTCTTCAGAAAGCTCTTGGAACCAAACTAGATATGAGCACGGCATATCATCCTCAGACAGATGGACAAAGTGAAAGAACAATCCAAACTCTGGAGGACATGCTTAGGGCATGTGTCATTAACTTTGGAAAGTCGTGGGACGCACATCTATCCTTGATCGAATTCTCGTACAACAACAGTTATCACACCAGCATTACGGCTGCCCCGTTTGAAGCCCTATACGGTCGCAAGTGCAGATCCCCTCTGTGCTAGGCCGAGGTGGGGGATACACAGTTAGCCAAGATTCGAGTCCCCGACAGTGCTCTCACTGGTCCTGAGATCATCCGTGAAACCACCGAGAAGATCATCCAAATCCGAGAACGACTGAAAGCCTCACGCGATCGCCAGAAGAGTTACGCTGATAACTGTCGGAAACCACTGGAATTCCAGGTTGGAGACCATGTCCTATTGAAGGTCTCGCCCTGGAAAGGCACTGTACGCTTTGGTAAGCGTGGGAAACTTAATCCAAGGTACATTGGACCTTTCGAGATCCTCGCCAGGATTGGTCCGGTAGCCTATAAACTTCGTTTACCTCACGAGCTCAGCAACATCCATCTCGTCTTCCATGTTTCAAATCACAAGAAGTGCCTATCCGATGAAACCCTAGTGATTCCGTTAGACGAGATCGAGATCGATGAAAAGCTCAACTTTGTGGAGGACCCGATTGAAATCATGGATCGAGAAGTTAAACATACAAAACAAAGTCGCATCCCCTTAGTGAAGGTTCGCTGGAATGCCAAGCGAGGACCGGAGTTCACTTGGGAGAGGGAAGATTCGATGAGACAGAAGTATCCACAACTCTTTCTAGATCCATGATTTGTATTTGGCTTGTATCTTGTCTTGAATTTCGGGACGAAATTCCCCCTAACAGGGGATAATGTAACAACCTGAAATTTCTGTACCACTTCTTGTAACTCTTTCGTAGTTCAATTCAAGCAACCAATCGTCGTTTTCAAATTCGATTCCGATTTTCTTATTTAATTAAGTCATTAACTTGTACGTATCTAAAATGACTTAATGGGTGTCTTAATACAATTAAGAATCATTTTAACACCCCATATTAGTAATCGGAATATTTCTAGAATCAATCACATCGGATTACGGCAACTCAATCGGGTACGACCACAATCCTCGCCTTATGCCGGTATCGGGTAGAATTCCTCCGTGTCCAAAACTTCGACACTATATAATGTGTTCTAAGCCTTCATTTGAAGCTTTTGGCTTCATCTCACTACTCTCTCTCTAACCTCTCTCCTCACTCTAAATTAAGGTCCAAAATCAAAGATTTAAGGCTCCAAATCATAGAGGTAACCTTCCTAGCTTGTTATTCAACCTCTTAGGCCTTCAAATCCGGAATTAAAATGAGAATTAGGACCTGGAACATGTGTTTATGGCCAAGGAATAAGCTTGGGCCGTAAACACACAATAATGGGGTTTTTGAGCCATTTAACCCTTCCAAATCATTGTTGGGACTTAGATATGACTTTGAGGCTTACAAACCTGGACATGGAACACCCTAAACATACATTTTGAGGGAAAAACAAGAGTTTAAGGCCAAGACATGTGCTTGGGCCGTAAACTCCTCAAACATGGGGGATAAACTCATTTTTACATGTTAGAATGCCTTGAAACTTAACCAATAGCCTTGTGGTAAATCCTAGGACCATCTAAAAATAGTTTGGGGACCTTAAACACATCAAATACCCTACATATGAGAGTTTACGGCCATAGAACACTTATGGGCCGTAAACTCCTAAAAATATGTTGAATAGTGCCCTAAATTCATAACAAGGCTTGGAAAATTAACTAGAATCACATGTGATTGTTCTTTGTACCTCAAATGAATTATTCTTGACCATAGTAGAGTTTATGGCCGTAAACTCCAAGTTTAGGGTCATAAACTCCCTTTTAAATGGTATAAGTTCATTTAATCAATTCCAAGGCATTTTAGAAATCCATTCCAACAATCCCCATGTCCAAATAAACCATTAAACACTCAAAATCACACCAACATGAGTTTACGGCCGTAAACTCAAGTATGTGTGTGTTTTGTGTCTGTAAACTCCATTAAATGTTTACTCTTGGGGAGTAAACTCAAATCCCAAGTCCCTAGTACCAATACACGTCCGTAGATGTCACCCGGGTCACTCCAAACACTCGTTTTGAGGTGTTTAACCTCGTTGGAGTGTAATGTTCCATAAGATTAGTGATTGTAAATCTAATTAGTTATATATGGACATTATTACATTTTACATAGGGACATCACGAGTAATCAAGCACCGAACCAACGTCTAGTGTCCGAAACCATCGCATTCCCGAGTCTGGTGAGTTCATACCCCTACCATTTTTCACTGTTTTCACTGTTTTCAGGGGGAACACAAGCAAAGTACAAGCGATTACTTGTACTCCAAAACTTGTTTTCATATGTGTGTTGTACATATTATATGCTTTTAACACTGATTGGTACAACTGATAACCGTTTGAACATGCAGCTCACGTAAACATATTATTTGTGAAATGGGTTTATAAACTATTATGTTTGATATATTTCACAAATGGTTTTCCACATTTTATCAGTTAAAATCATGACATTAGAACATATGAATATAAAACTTGTACACTGTCTTATCCTCGGTAACACTCCACACAGATACGCGAGTGGAGGATTATAATATTATTACTAGTAAATTTGTTATTCCTGTATGATTGGAGACACGTCCTCGGCGAACACTCCACAAAGATATGCGAGTGGAGGACACACCCGTAACCAGAATCTCTGGGATTTAGAGAGCGTGACTTGAGTGTATAGATCTATACGGGGCTGACTACCCCACACCTGGCTGCTAGCTACAGCCGAACCGAAATGGTTCAAGGGTGACGAAAGTCATAAGGATTTGGACTACTTATTGCCACAGGTTTAGTCTATCGTATGGTTATGGAACTCGCAATTAGGATAATAAAGATTTACTTATAGTAATAATGAACAGCTTTATACACTTCACAAGATAACCAGATTTCAGTATACATCTTTTACAATGGTAACCAACATTCAGGAAAGCATGGGGCTTTCCTGGGGAACATATACATAACTAGAAAAGTGTAACAAACGGGTTAACCTTACATCTTTTACAATTGGTAATATACAAACAGGAAAGTATGGGACTTTCCTGGGAATCCATTGGTACATAACCAGAACAGTATAAGAAAACAGATAAGATAAATGTACATTTTCACAAGGGTAAACATGTTTTCAGTGTATAACTTTACTTTACATATTATGAAACAACAATCAACTATTTTATGAAAATATGGGATTTTCTTGGTGTGCGTAACTTTTTCAGAAACAGAAAGGATTACAAACATTTTCACAAAACAAAAACCGCTTATGAACTCACCAGCGTTATGCTGATTTTCAAACCGCTTGTGTTCTCAGGTCAACGTTAGAACAGGTACCGAAGATCCTTTTTGCTCGAAGACGGAGTGCTCAGAAGACCGGTTTCATTTTGTTCATATATATATATATATATATATATATATATATATATATATATATATATATATATATATACTATGTATCACAACTGTACACTTTACTTTTGAAACAATTGTAAAACTTTTCTATATGTAATGTAATGGTTGTTCTACTTTACTTACTATGTGCATTGGATTTGATACTCAACATGGAGTCAACCCCGAAAATGTTTCCGCCTTCGGTTTTCGGGGTGTGACAACCGCCCCCGCAAGATGGAAGATAGTGTTGTAATTAAGTGTAAAAATGCAGCTTGCAACGATTCGAATTTTCATACTGTTATAAAGTATACACATACCTCCATTTATATTGATCATTTCAATCATTCAACAAAAATAATAAACTAATCTAATATTTTTTAGGTATATAATTCCAATCAACGTACAAGATCATACTGGCACCGTCGGATCCACTCTTTTTGATAGGGAAGCAAAAAGATTGTTGGATATAAGTGCACTCAAGTTGAAAAAAATACATGAAGAGGTATAGTTTTTTATTCATATTTTTCTATCAAATAACATTTTATTTGTTTTAATATATTAAACAATCTTCTTACAGGCTGGTGACAGTTTGGAACTATATCCAAATCATATGAACGTCTTGAAAAACCGCAAATTTGCGTTTCTTGTAGATGTTACATCCTACAATGTCACCAACTATAACAATATCTATACCGTTGTCAAACTTACAGAAGATGAGTCTGTTGTTTTAGAATTGGAAAGTAAACTAGAACTTATGGTAAATAATGTTTTAATGTTCAATATTTATATTTATTTTTTATTTACATACATAACGTTTTACATATTTCCATATTATTTTCTAGAGTGTTCAACCAGTGTCCTTAAATGAAGTACCCCTGGAATCAGATGAGGTCGTTCAAAATGTTCAAAAGGTATGTTATATTCTCATATTAACTTTTATTTATATTTAATTAGATCGCTTGTCAACTTATGTTTTTTTAATTTAGGATGTCATATCACAAACGGATGAGAATTTTACTCCCTCAACAATTGATAAATCATCCGCAACAAGTCCATTGAAAATATCAGGTGATTTGAAGCGCAACCTCCATGACATTTATGATGTTGATGGTCGAGGTGATTTGAGTTCAATAAAATCTAAAAGAAAATCAATGGGAGAGGTAAACCCACTTTTAGTTCCAAAAGTGGAAAAGTGAGTTGTTATGGTGATGACGTTTATGATCTAGAAGATGATGGTGATGCAAATTCTATAAAATCAAATACAGAATCTTTTGGTGAAGATACTCCAGTTTGGGTGCCAAAAGTGGAGAACTGAGTTGATTATGATTTTTAAAAACAATTATTAAGTTTGGTTTTGTTTTAAAGACTATTTCGTTGTTTCGTTCAAGTATTTTGGGGACTTTCGTTTGTTTTTATACGTTTGTTTTGTTTATTTGAAGTGGTTTAACAGTACATTTTTACTTATTTGACACTTTCGCTTTAAAATTTGTTTGTATCACAATTACACTAAAATTAATCTTGGAAAATAATATGTTTAAAAATAGTTAAATTTAAATTCACAACAAGCAATGTACTTGTGTACAAGGGCATAACGAATAGTTTTTACATTGCAATTGTTTGTTTTTCTGTTTATGTCGTATACTAAAAAAACTATCATTATTTCTTTTTAATAGAAAAGGACAATTTTGCCCTTATATATGGACCGTTTTACCAAATAACTTATATCATAATATAGCGCCCTACTTTTCATAAAAAGCGACATAAAGGGCAATGGACCAATAGGAATGAACCAAAAAAAAGGCAATCAACTATAAAGCGACATAAAACATACCAGGAGCATCAACAAGGGCAAAAAGGCCAATAAACCTCATATGAAGGAAGCAAGATTCATCCGAAACCAAGTATACCAGGGTCTAGCAAGAAAAAGACAACAAAATCAAGTAGTAAACAACATAAATGAAGCCATCCAACACAAAAGGGAAAAACATTCCAACTTATAGGAATGAACCAAAAGGGCAAAACAGTCCATCTAACAGAAACATCATTATTGCAGTTTTTTAGCCAAATGGCAAAACTTCAAATTCGTATACAATATAAAAATAAAAATAAAAATCTGTTATTATTTGTGGAAACCACGGGTAAGAATAAAATATTGATAATTAAATATTGTAATCACTAATCAAAGACTTCTAAAAATTTGGATAGACTACCGATAGCAATAGTAATATAATGCTTAATTAAGAAAAAATAAAAAAGAAAATAGACGTAACAATAAGATAGTATTTTACACAAGCAAAACCAAAATGTGTGAAACTTTTTTGAAGAAAAAAGCATTATATGTTGCTAATTTCTATATTTCCTCAACTTCCTTTGTGCCACCATATAGTTTTGTTGTATAACATATGGTCATATCCCAGTTATAATAAGCCTATAGTTAGACAAAATAAAATTAGCATATGTTAAGAAGATAAACTTAATTATACTCACATTCAATTTTTTCTTACTTCATGAAGGATAGGGTTTATATTGGTAGCTATAACATAGTTTTGGAAAGGTTCTTCAAGTTAAGCAGCTTTGGAAGGTGTATTAGTACCTCACACTGTACATGAGATAATGCAGCAACTCAGGTCCATCCATCTATTGGGTATGCAGCTTGAAGATATATCAAACAAACAAAAACTTGTCATTTTTTCTAAAATAAGCGCTTAACATTTTTTTTTCTTTTATCAAATGTTTTTAAAGAAAATATTATATGACAAACTAACAAAACTATTATATGAATACAAATATTTTTTGAGGTAAATAAATATTTTAAATATGGGAAAATGACTTAAAATGGTAATTATATTTTTGTAAGAACATTGTTATTTATTGCAATTTGCATCAGGTGACCATGTCCAGAAAGAAGGAATTTGCTAAGAGTTTTGGATCTCCCTTTCTGGTATTTGATCATAATTTGGAAAAATTCATGATTAAAACAATTTTCCTATTCCATAGCTATTTACTTTTCATTATTGCAGTTTTTTAGCTAAATGGCAAAAACTTCAAATTCGTATAAAATATAAAAAGAAAAATAATAATCTGTTATTCTTTGTATTTAATAGAAAAGTGTAATTATTGATGGGTTTTGGTCATAAGACATCCTATGTGCTCATACAAACCCTAATGCTTGGATCTAGGTTTCTCTATTGTACATGCTTTGAATCCAAGACTATAAACCCTAATTCTAGCATACATATAATCATATTAACATGAGAATAAGTTTATAGTGTTACCTTGATTGTTATGTAGCAATAACAATCCCAAATCTCCTTGTATTGACTTTGGAATGCTTAGAGTCACAAGTGTCACTCCTCTAATGGTTCACAAACACCATAAGCAAGAGGATGAAGAGGAGAGAGGTTGGAGGCTCCCAAAAACGTGTGTAAACCCTTACAAGAACCTTAGCTACGTTTTTTAGCCTTAAGGAGTCTTTATATATAGTTGGGCTATTAGGGTTATCTAACAAGGAAACCTTAATTTGGATGCTTAAGCCCTAAGCAACCCATAGACTCCTTTTATCAAGCCTATGGACGATTTTTTTATGGGT